GACGCCGGTGGCGGCAGCGGCGTCAGCTGGCCCGGCTGCGGCCGTGGCAGGAGCCGCGCCGTCCGGCGGCGACAGCGGCGGCGGCGCCAGCGGGGGCGCGGAGGGCGTGCGGCCGAAGCCGTTAGTCATCGACATCGCGCTCCTCCAGCGGCTGAACGGCGGCGGCCCGCTGCCCATCGCGGCGGCCGCAGCGGGCGCTGATGCGGCGGGCGCGGCGGCGCTGAGCGCAGCGCGCAGCAAGCAGAAGGGCGGGTCCACACAGAAGAACAAGTGAGGGGCCGCAGCGGCGCGCTCGCCTCCCCTTGCCAGGAATTCGGCCGCCTGGGGGGTGCTGGTCGCTGCCAGCACACTGATGCGGCGATGTATCGTGAATGTGCGTGTGTACACTGGTACACCCACACCACACACACGTGTAAACACACACACGCACACACACACACGCGCGCGCACGCACACACCAGGGCCGTCGGGATCGTGGAGCAGATGCAGGCCAAGCGCCTGAAGAAGCTGCAGGATGACGCCCGCACCGACGAGGCGCTACTGCAGGTGGGGGCCTCAATTCCTTGATCCTACCCAGGCCACCCGGGGGAGCGTTGCCTTCTTGTGCGCCTGAGACGGAGGATCCACCCGCGGGGGCTGGTTGACCCAGGGGCGGCCTGCCGTCGGGATTGTGCGCCCCTGCTGGCTGCTTCCTCTGGAGGGCCCGCATGCGGGGTGATACGGCCCTGCCTGATTAGCCGCATGGCATGCAACAAGCTCGAGGAGGAAGCTGCCGGCCCGTCCACACACCAAGCGCACCTTTCCGTCGTTGCCCCCCAAACACCGACCCCCGCCCGCGTCTCTGCACCCGCTGCGCCGCGCTCCCCCCCCCCCCCTTGAAGGCTAACTATCTGGCCGCGCTGCGCCGCGCGGCGGCTGTCGAGGCTGCGGGGGACACGGCGGCGCGGCGGCTGACGCTGGAGTGGCTTGGGGCCGTGCCCACTGAGGATGAGGTGGCAAATGTGAGGGGCCCACGGGGGAGGGGCTCCATGGGTGTGTGCATGTGTTTGGGCGTGTGCGTGGCTGGCTCTGACTGTGCCTTGAGTTGTGTGGTGGTGCCCGTGCATGTCTGTTTGTGTGTGTGTGTGTGTGTGTGTGTGTGTGCAATTATGTGTAAATCTGGAAGTGTGTGTTTTACGGCTGTCAGTTGATGCTCTAATGCCCGTGCTTTCAGCTGGAGCTGCAACGCGGTTGGTCTTGAGCCAGATCTCTGGCAACACTGCAGTGAGTCCTGAGGCTCCGCCTCTCCCCAGGCCCGAAGCTGCACACTGGCGCAGGCGCTGCCAGCTGTTGGGGAGCTTCCGGCCCGCTGAACACCCTGAACCCCCTCCCTGCGCTGGCAACGCTGTGCAGATCGGCCACTGGCTCACTACCCTGCAGGAGATGACTCACGATATGGTGGACGGCGGCAAGGTGTGTGTGTGTGTGTGTGTGTGGATGCGCGTGTGCGTGAGGAGAGTTCCTGGCGTCCCAGTGTGATCTTGTACACCTGTGTGTGTGCAACAAATCAGGGGGAGAGCGACGGGAGGGGGTTTGTGCGCATGCGTGTTGTCAGCCTGTACGCGCATCACCGTGCGCGCGTGAACATACATGTGTGTGTTTGCACATGTGTCGGGGCATGAAAGTCTGCTCATGCCCGGGCATACGGAGCTTGGTCATGCGATCACTTTCCATTCGTGCGTTTACCAGGGCCGTCGCCCTTGCTGCGGTGGCAGCAGCAGCCGTCGTGCTTCCCCTCGCACCCCAGACGCCTGGGTCCCTTTCTGGGCCCCGCAGCAGGCGAACCCCTGCCTCCCTGCCTTCCACCCCACAGCAGGAGGACGGCAACAGCGGCGGCGGCGGCGGCGGCGGCGCGTTGTATGCGTCTGAGACCAACCGGCGGCACGCTGTGCGGGTGGCTCTGGAGTGCCTGAAGGAGCTTCGGGACGCTTTCATTCCGCTGCAGATGATGGTGGATGCGAAGGTGGGGGTTTGGAGGACGAGTGCATATATCACTGGCACGGTAGCATGCAGATCACTGACGCAGTGGTAGGCACAGCACCGACACAGCGGCAGGCAGATTGCCAACACAGCACCAGGCAGATCACCAACACAACAGCATGCGGGTCACCAACAAAGCAGCCCTCTGTCGCCGCCCCGCGCGCACACGCCATCGCCGCAAGAGGCGCGTGCATGCAGTTTTGCTGCGGCCCGCGCCGGGGCTGCGGTGCGCGTTGGCGCCAGGCGTGGCGCGGAGCCATGTGTTGTGTTGTGATGCAAAACTCTGCCTTGTCCGGGCGCCCAAACATGGGAAGAGTACGGCTCCTCTGCCACCTCAGCATCATGGCGTCGCCCGCCGTCCGCCTCAATCACCCCCCAGGCCGCCGACACGGTGAAGCCTTACGCGGCGCACCCGCACCCCGCCGTCGCCGGCGCCGCGGCGCGCTTGCTGGAGCACTGGCGGGCGCTGGTGGCCGGCCACCTGCACGTGCTGTCGTGCCCGGCTTACGTTACCGACCCGGTCGGTGATCTGGAGGACGACCTCAGATCGGGCCGCGTCCCGCTGCCCGTGCTGCCGCCGCAGCGGCAGGCGCAGCTGGCGGCCGCCGCCGCCGCCGCCGCGGCGCACGCGTCAAAGGGCGGGACGAGCGGCGGGGGCGCGGCGGCGGCTGCCGCGGCCCCGGCCCCGGCAGACTTTCTGACACCGGGCCCGCAGGCCCGGGCTGGCGGCGGCGCTTCCGACTATGGCGCACACCAGGCCGTCGCGGGGGCTCCAGGGTCGGCCTTGACGTCGCAGCAGCACGGGCAGCAGCAGCAGCCGCCTGGCAGCTTCGCCTTTGGAGCGGCTCAAGCGGGGGCACCGGATGGCGCAGCTGCGCTGACGTACGCGCAGACGCCGGGGATGCGGTCTGGGAGCGACCAGGCAGGTGCGGCGGCGTTCTATACGCATCAACAGCAGCAGCAGCAGCAGCAGCAGGAGCTATTTGTGCCCGCGCACGGCCAGGGGCCGGGGTATCAGCAGCAGCAGCTCAACGGGGCGGCGGCGCTGGGGCTAGCCCCCATGCAGGTCGACGGGCCGCTGGGGTGAAGCACTCGCCGCGCCCGGCTGCGCCGCATTTCATTGTGTTTTCGACACGTCACGTCGATTTCACAGCGTGCTCTGTTGTTCAATGAATGCTGTGTTGAGTTTGATGGTGTGATACCCCTCGTCTGACCCCAGCCGCCGGCCACGCCACGAGAGAGCGCCACGTTGCTGTGCCCCTCACCCGCTGCAGTCCAGTCAGTGACAGAACACACCGTGTGACCCATTCTTTTACGCCATATGCGCATGTGTGCCGCACGTGAGTGTATGCTTGCGCCTTCGCTTCTCGCTCCGCCGCCCCTCCCCCCCTCGCGCCCTGGTTGACGCCTTGCACACACCCCGCCCCTGTCCCCAACCGCCACAACCACCATGCCTGGTGTAATGAAGTTGCGGGCTTTGTATCAGTCCTTACGCACTGGTCGGGCATGTGGCCAGCAGGTAGCTGTAGAGGGGGTTGTACTGGAGGCGAAAGTCTTTTGTGGGCCTCACGAGAAGGGAGAGGTCGAGTGAAAACGATCGTTGATCAGCGTCACTCTGGCGTCACCAGGCGCACCCCCTCCTCACGGGAGCCTGCAGCCACTAGGTATGCAGATGCAGATCACAAGTCTGATCTTTATTGCGTTCAGCGCTTGATATACTTTCCTGAGGCGCGGGATCGGTGACAGTGTCGGGCATGCCCGGGGTGGGCCACCGGGCATTCAGCGTGCTGGTACTTCTCGCTATCCTGGCCCTAATCCTAGCCACGCTTGGACTCTCACGCACAGGTGCGCTGCGGAAGAGCGCAGCTCTACTGCAGATCCGACCGCGCACCAGCTGCACGCCGACACACACGACACACCGCCAACCCTGCTATGATCCTGCGCGCCAACCGTACGTGATGCGCAAACACCACGCGACCACCAGGGGCGCGGCCGTAGCATGCTCAGGCGCCTGTCGCAGTGCCCATCGCCTTGGCGGCAGCGGCCGGCGGGCCTCGCCGCCGCGCGCCCGCCGCGGCCCGTACGCACCGCCGC